TTGTGATTATCTCATGTTGCTTCTTTTGTAATTGAGACCGGAATCAAATGGTAGTTAAATCTTGCTTCTTAAGTTCATGATATAATGTTGCTTTCTTTCTTGTTGATTTTATGATAGGGTTGGTTATTGTTGTTTAATCTTGCATCTTATGTTTATTATTGTTTTGTTTAATTAATTGCGTACTTTGTATTTGTGTTTGTTTAGATTTCCATGTGGTCCCCACCTATTGGACCTGGGAGAGGGGCGCCTAATCCCTTCCCTCTCCCATCCGAACTGGTTGGACCAATGCCTTGGGCTTTGGAGTCACTATTTAATAAAAATGATTTTAATGCCATTCCCGGAGGTCCCATCACCTCCATTTCTTAATATGATGGGTGGCGACTCAATTTCTAGCCCAAGTGGTAAGTGAGCCGTTTTCCAATGCTCACATGCGCAACAAAATTCGATTTTCAAATCGGGTGCACAAGTTAAGTGTGCAAATTTTAAAAATTGAATTCACCGGCAAGTGGTGTGACCTTCTCGACCGTCGATCTAATGTTGTGTCACCTCATCTATCAATCTTCTGCACCCAAGAATATAAATAGGGGGTCCCTATTGGGGTTCCATTCGCATTGTTTTGAGATTTCTAATGAGAGAGTGGGGCAATTGATTAGAGGAGAGTTCTGTTAGGAGATCGTTGTTAGTTCAATGAGCGAGATTTGGTTGGGCGAGGTAGATTTATATTTTTTAAAGCTGGTGAGTCTTTTTTTCCCTCTTTTAATCATGTCCTCAAGTGAGTCAAAAGGGGTCCTCTTATTCTACTCAAACCGAGGAAGGGACCTTGGCACAAGATTGACGAGATTCCCACACTAGGGCCTCAACTTCTCAGTAGGAGCTAGAGACTAGTTCCCAATTCAGTCCTAGCGAGCTAAGTGTGGAAGAAATTGTTGGCTTGGTATATGCATTTCATATCCCAAATGAGCTCAATTGTATTCAGCCTGACCCAGGCCAGTTCCCATGGAGCCACAACCGAGCCGAAGTCTGTGTCTTCAAGGAGGCATTAATCGTTGGCTTCCGATTTCCTCTACACCCATTTATTGTTGAGGTGCTCTCCCTCTACAGTATTTCTTTAGGGCAGCTCATCCAAATGCCATTCAGATCCTCGTGGGGACAATTTCATTTAGCTATCATCTTAATTTTCCTCTTGACATAGATGTCTTCTCAAGGCTATGCAGTATAAAGAAGGTTCCCAATGTGCCCTACTATTTTTACTTGTCTTTCCATCAAGGTTGTAAGCTTCTAGGGTGTTCTCCCACAAAGATTAGGGACTAGAAGGGTAGGCATTTCTTCCTTTCTCGGGAGGTTGATTGGCTTATGGGTACCGTCTGGCAATGTAGGGCGACAAGGATCTCTAAAGTTGAGTTTGATTAAGAGTTGAGTGTTGAAGTCCAATGCCTTGCACGTCAATGGTTACTAATAGATCAGTTCTTAGCTGAGCCTATGCCCGTTCAGGCTGGCCTGAGTCCCGTAGGTAGGTTAATTGAATCATCCTTTGTTTTTATATTGGAAGTTACCCTTTAGCTTGAGTAACTCTTCTTTTGTATGCCTTCTCAGGGATGACAAGCACTGCTTCTCTCCGAGCAATGGCCAAGAGGCCCTCGAAGAAGAAGATGAGGGTGGCTGAATCTTCAGTTTGCTTGTCAATGGAGGGTTCGTTGGTCGGTGCCGAGGAGAGGCCTGTCATGGGCATGCACGAGGTCGTCGATCTTGAAAGGGGTGGTGACCCCATGTCCGTAGAGCCCGCTCAGGCCACCACAAACCCAACCTCCCCATCCCCTCAGGTCACCCCAAAAGAGTGTGCTACCGGCCCTACCACTCTAACATTCCACATTTCATCCCAACATCGACATTTCAATCATTGATCGCCTCACTGATCCTCTAGTTGCAATGTGAATGGGGAGAGAAATTCTTCTCCCTGAGGATTTATAGTTCTATAGCGGGCTGGATCCTTCTGATGTTGGCACAAGGATGACTTAGTGCATCCTTCATGTATGATCTCTATTTTGATATTTGCCTTTCTTTCCTTTTGGGCCTTGTTTATTTTTCCTTTCAGGTCGCCTTGTCCTAGTAGGAGAAGTGTGAAATACAAGCGAACATAGAGAACCTGTAGGCCTAGCTGGAAGGAGCTCTCCTGAGCACTGAAGTGACTCACTGCAGTGCAAAGGAGGACCACCATTGCTTCATCGATCTTAGTATCAACATGCAGTGAGAGTTGGAATAGGCCAAAGGAACCATCGTTGCCCTGACCGACGAAGTGCAGATAAGGACCATCAGCTGGAAGAGCGGCGAACTAAATATACTGAAGATATTTGCCATGCTGAGGTAGCAGCTATCGAGTGTTTCTGCACATCGCCAAAGTATAAGCAAGAAAAGGTTGAAAATGCCCTTCCTTCCATGAAGAGGGGATTCAAGCTATGTCACTGCTACCTCAAGTCCCTGCATTCAACTTTGATTTCAGTAACTTGTCTATTAGGTCGATACCAAACGAGTTGACCGTGCAGGTCAACCAAGAGCCTCTAACTCCGGACGAGGTTGACAATGGGTTGGGTGACGAGGAGGAGTATCTGTCGATGGGGGGTTTTTGGTCATGTTCTTCAAAGATAAGATGTACCTGGAGCCTACATGCTCCCGAATGCTTCTTTAGAGCCCACGTACTCTTAATTGTTTCTTTTTAGAGCCCATGTGATCTTGAACTTTTTATTTTGGAGCTTGTGTGCTCTCACTTTTTTACTATATGCTCTACCCCATTTGTTTCTAAATGAACCGGTCTTTCCTATACACTTTGTGCCTTCTTTCATGCCCTTTATTTACTACTAGAAAATAGATTAAGTATGAAAACACGACTAAACTTGCAATTTCAGCTAAGTCAAAATGCTATCAAGCTATATACTTGAGTTGCCGAACTATCTATTCTCTTGGCTAAATCGAAATATTGTCAAGCTGTCGAGCTACTATCATTTTCCGAGTTTGACATTAGGGGCCTTAGAGCTAAAAGCAGCTTGGCTTCCCCTTATATATAACTTAGCGAAAGTGCTCATAGCGTAGATCGGCTAGACCAGGTCACCGAGGTGAGCGGTCTCATTCTTATACTTAGTGAAATTTGTAATCTTTGCGAGCGTAGCTCGAAACTTCCAAACTCTTCATAGATAATATCTCCTTAAGTTGTCGACATTCCATGCATGGGGTACCTGCCGCCCCTCTAACATTTCGAGCTCGTACATACCCTCAACAACCACTTTGAGAACTCTGTAGGGAACTTTCTAGTTCGAACCTATTTTTCCCATGCAGGGATCCGGTACCATAACCTTCCTAAGTACTAGGTCGCCAACTCAAAATTGGCGTCTCTTAACTCGAGCTTTATAATATCGAGCTACTTGTTGCTGGTATGCTGTAGTTCGAATATAGGATAAGTCATGGACTTCTTCCACCAGGTCAAGGTTAGTCCGAAGCCCGTCCTCGTTAGCCTCCTCATCATACATCTCAGATTGCAAGGTCGGCACCTCGATCTTAGTTGGAATGACAACCTCCATCCTGTATGTTAGGTTGAAAGGAGTCTCCTCGATTGTTATCTTGATAGTAGTACGATAATCCCAAAGAACACTGGGCAGCTCATCCACCTACAAACCCTTAGATCGAGAGAGCCGAGCTTTGAGTCTGTGGAGTATCGCCCTGTTAATCACTTCGGCCTCATCATTTGCTTGGGGATGGGCCACTGATGTGAAGTTTTGTTAGATTCCCATCTTGTTACACCAGTTCTAGAACTTGATGTCTTTGAACTGTTTCCCATTGTCCGAAATCAGTACTTTGGGGAGTCTGAATCTATAGACGATGTTCTACTAGAAAAAGTTCTACACGTTTTGAGTTGTGATGGATACTTGTGGCTTAACTTCCACCAACTTTGTAAAGTAGTCGACCACGATTATCAAGAACCTCCTCTACCCAGTCATAGGTGGAAAGGGATCAAGGATATCTATCCCCCACTCTGCAAATGGCCACAGGCTAGTAAGGTACCTTAGGTTGACAGTGGGTTGGTGTGGTATGTTGGCATGCTGCTAGCACTTGTCACACTTCCGAACTAATCCTAGTACGTCTGCCTTCATCGTGGGCCAGTAATAGCCTTGTTGTAGCACCTTTTGGGCGAGCGCTCTACCCCCAAGTGTCATTCGTAGAGATCCTCGTGGGTCTCGTGTAGCACCTAGTTTGCCTCAGTTGGGTGCAAGCAGCGCAGGCAGGGGAGGGTGAATGACCTGCAACACAGTTGCTTGCCTATGATTACATAGCGAGCTAATTGCCGTTCTACCATCCGAGCTAATTGCTGCTCTACCATACGAGATGCATTATGCTCACTAGTACCAAAGATGGTATTGGATCTGAGCTCGAGCTAGAATGGGGTCAAAGACTCCGATTTGAGGTTGAGGGGCAGGACCTCGCACACGAGAACGCACCACCGTATGTGATTGGACATGTGGCAATTGTACATTGTGTGGGACAAGAGGTGGTGGGGCGAAGTGCGAACAGGACTATGAGGGGGTTGTAATTCAGATTTGTGAGGTGAATTACAGTCCTTTTATCCTTTGTAGTTTTGCATTGGGAATATCTTTCAATAAAACAAAGCACATAAGTATAAAGATATTCTTAACGTAAGACAGTAAAATCTGCCCGAATGGGCTTTTGCCCTAAGTGGAGCCAAACTCGAGAAGCGGAGAAGAGGAATTTACATTTCATCATCGGGAGATGTTTCCAATACACAGTGGGAACACGGCGGAAATGTGGTGTGGGGCGGATATGCGAATTCCTCGTAACGCCTCCCTATTAACCGCATCCGGCCCGTAAATTTGGCATCAATCCACGGGCGGGGTTCACTGAACTATAAAGCCCCAAATTAAAGTATGGGCACAGATTTGCCCTGATAGAAGACGATCTCCCAATTCTCCCTATAACTTGGAAATCAACCGGTCTCTCACTCTCTCTCCCTCTCGAGTTCGAATCTCGATAGCTGATTCTTGCTGGGTGGTTTGTGCTTAATTAAGGGCTTGTCTAAACTTTTGAGAATTCTATTGTAATGCAGCTACAAGGTACGATTCCTTCTGCCAATTGGAGATATCATGAAATGCGAAGGCCTGTAGGCTTCCTACCAGCAACATTGTTCTCCATTGCCAAAAGCATAAAGAGCAGTACCAAGAGTGGAAGAAACAGCTGCCCTACTCTCATGGCCACCATTTCTACTGTATCGACGGAGAAGGAGGGTGTTATAAACTCAGACGCACAATCCCGGAAGACCCAAATACCCGTGCAGGTATGTCTCCACACCCTGGCGGTGTTTTCATTTCTGCTCAAAGCTCAGCGATTGGGTTGACGGATCTTCTTGTTTGTGGAGATGGGCTATCTGTTTTTACTTGATTTTATCTATGCGTAGTTTTGATTGACTTTTTGTTCTTTTCTGATTGGATATGTGGGTCTTCTGCAAGTTTGTTTCTTTAAGCCTTAAAATCTACCCCTGTTGGCATTCATGTATAGCTTTTAGTCATCTTTGATATGTTTCCAAGGATTTTATTTGGATTGGTATTCATTCTCTATCCTTGCCCCATTTGCACGTTTCCATCGTTCACTGCTTTTTTTATTTTTTTTCTCCTTTTTGCTTCATTTCAAATAGAACTTTAATTAGTTTGCCTGTGTCTGCAGCGAGATTATCTCGGATCGGAACTTCATTTACAATTCCGTAGTACCTCTCTTATTGGAATTCCTTTTTCTTTTCTTCTGCAGTTCTGCTTATTCTGTTCCGATTCGAATCACCATTATGCAGTGGTTTGTTAGAAATAGTTGACACTCCTTGCTTAGTTCTTTTAATTGGATTTAAGTGTACTTATAGCTTACATATAACATCAATTCCAATGTAATTAAAAAAATTGTTGCTAACTCCTTGTTTAAAACAGATTGACTAGTTTCGAAGAAAAAAAGAAAAGAATTCGTATAGAATATTTTTGATAGTTAAAGAATTTGTATAGACTAAATCATGTGTTATGAATAAACCCGTTTTTTAAGGACTGGCATGAAGACCTTTTTTTATGGACTACGATTTCTTATATGTTTTTCTTATGCTTATTTATGCATGGTATTTCCTGTGGGCTCTGAAACCAAACGAGAATATACTGAAATCATATCAATGAGGTATTCATGGATTGGGCCAGAAATTTTGCTTATCTGATTGTAATGCCTATATTCTGAGGTGCCTCCTCCTCACCCCATCCCACCCAAATTCATTCATCCAATCACAACTTGTGAGTCACCTTCCACACCCAGTCTAGAAAGATAAAGTAAGATAACAAACTATAGCCCATAAATTGATAGAAAATCCGTCACGATTGAATCCCTTTCCGGCTTCTCCAATTGGACCTGGAAGATGGGGGGGGGGGGGTCAAGTTGGAGAGTAAGAAATAAAAACATCAATTTACTTAATAAGTGGATTAAGTGTTATGGATATTTCTGATCAAATCACAGATTCAGTCTTTTTGTATTTTGTTATTAGGAGCAAATATGGCTTTCATAAGAATGAACTGGATTCTGGATTTGCTAGGATGGTAATTTTGTGTTGCTAATGGAAGGCCATAGAGACAGTCTTCTATTTTTTCTTATCATCTGTTCTCCTCTTGGGATTTGTAATTTATTCGTGGATCCAAGGATCAAAAGTACTAGGTACTAGGGAGTGGGTAGACTTAAGTCTCTTAATGGCGTTTTCCTTCTTCAAGAGGGTCTGGGATTAGAGGATATGGACTGTTGACTAATTGGGCTCCTCTTCTGTTTCTTTTTGCTAGGCTCTTGATGATTTGATTCCCCGCTCCTCCCAATTCTTTCCTGGCTAAAGTCCATTATGATGGTCCCTTTCAACCAAAGATCACTTCAAAGTGTATTGTTCAAAAGCCTTTTTGTATATTGTAAACACTATTGAGGTGCTCCAACAAAGATGGAAGACCTGGAGCATATAACCCCATGTCTGTAACCGTTTCCTAGAGTTGAGAACATCAAGTATGTCTTCCTCTCATGCCCTTAGTCAAGGGTATAGAACCATTTTTTTTTTCCTTTATTTGTTACTAATTGGAATATTGGATACACCTTTAGAGATGTTAGACCTTTTTGCTTCTCAAATGAACCTTATCTATACAAGAGTTGCAATCCTTTGGAGCGTTTGGTGTAATATAAATGCTAGAATCTTTTACAATAAGGAGCAAGATGTTAACACCTTAATTGATGTCATTATGGTACATGCAGGACATTGGTGCAGTGCTATCAATGTAGTAAAGTGATGATTATTTGTTGTGGCCTCTCTAGTAGTAGACCAGAAAAAAAATTATTTTCTAGATTTTAGATATTGATACTATCCCATAAATAAGTTAATATTAAATTGCAAATAAGCCACAAAAGAATGATATTAAGCATTAGTGTATAAAAGGTTGGGTTGAACAGGGAGTTAGGGCCTTCAGTATTTTTTTTTTCAAAGGAAGAGTGGAACTTTTGACTATCTGATAACCTTTACTAGTGGCAACTCTGTACCAGCAGACCACTAATTGGAAGAAAACTTGTAAGAACTCCTCCTCTTTTGATCTCTATGCCTCTTTTTTTTTGTTTTATATACCATTAACCAACCATGTTCAATCACATATACGTGAAGCAATAACATGTATATTAAAACTATATATATACTACATTATTTAAAATAATTAGATATAAATGCAAATGTCTAAAGTTTTAAAATATCTTTGTAGTAAAGTACTATGCTTAGTTTTAAAAGAATTTATCAAGAAGCAAAGGAAGAAGGACAGAAGGAGGTGAAGACATCACCTATAGAAAAGAGAGAAAGATAAACCCCTAAAACACTTTCTTTTTATTTTTTTATCAATAACAGAAGAAAATTCATTAAAAAGGAAGAACTTTAGTACAATAAGAAAGGGGAGGGATAAACACTCTTACCCTCCCCAACAGAAAATAAAATTACAACACAGCCCAAAATAAGCTATTCCTTCCCACCCCTTGTTTAGTAAGTGTATCAGAAAAGGCATTTGCGTCTCTTCTGACCCAATTACAAGTTACCTCTACCCCTTGTAGCAATTTAAAAGCTTTCCTCTTCTCATATATGTAGCATCACCATCCATCCTCCTCTTTTCAGAGCCAGCTAATTACAAGCTTCAAATTACCTTCAATTATCAGCTTTCTGATATTCAGCTCTTTAGCCTTTTGAATCCCTTCCATAACAGCTATGATTTCTCATATATGTAGCATCACCATCCATCCTCCTCTTTTCAGAGCCAGCTAATTACAAGCTTCAAATCACCTTCAATTAACAACTTTCTGATATTCAGGTCTTTAGCCTTTTGAGTCCCTTCCCTAACAGCTATGATTTCAGCCCTTAACGAGTCCCCAACTCAAATTGGACCCCTAAAACACTTTCACACGATCACACCCTACACAAACCTCCAATGACAGCTACCACCCCAACCCAAAACACAAGAGATAACCAGACAGCACACAAAAAAGATTTCAGCAAGACACAACACAGACACTACTGCCAAGCTAAAAGACGAGACCCTACACCTCCACCAACTGAGGAAAAATCCAACAATTTAACATTAAAAAACACTAAGACTCCACCAGAACTACTTTCACAATTTGCTCGATTACACAACTGCTTCAAGCTCTTGAGTTCACCTTCTTGCTAGGTCCAACACTAAATAAATCAACTTTAGTCTTGCAAACACTTTCAACATCTGAACAGGTCAATGGGTCTTTTCACTTCTAAAGCACCTAACAGCATTAGAAATCTTCTCAGGCAACTGCAAATCATTTGACCTAGCAATGATCCTTTCTGGTTTTAGGACTGCATTTTTCTGGAAAAGCTGATCTTAAACCAGCTTACCAGTCCCATTGTCAGCAGTTTCTGCAACTCCACAAGATCTCTGTCTACTTTGATCTTTTTCCTCCTTATTCTCCACTTTATTAACAACTCCTACATCACTCTTAATCACAAGCATCTTATATTTCTCTTCCAATTCCTTAAAGGTTTTCCTAGCAAATTCCTCCCCTAATCCCAATGACTTGCTCACTTCCATCTCCGTATTCACCACTCTTTTCTAAATCAATTGCTCTTTCAATAACACGAGTCTCATCCACCCAAATCTCACCATCACTTGAATCACTTGTGCCCCTATCTTCATCATCTCTTTCTTTGTCCTTTTCAGAAATGTTATTTTCTTGCAAAGGTCTAGTTTGATATTTCCTTTTTCTACTAACTACTCTTGAGTATGAAGTACCCGATGTACTTCCATCTGAAATTTCTCTTTATTTCCCACCCTTCATTCTCTATAAACTTTTTGCCACTTCTGAATCTTTCAATATTCTCAACTGAACCCCCATCCACTCCTTTTCCCCACTTCGGCTTTGTGCAGCCATCTCTTCTTCTATGGATTTGTCAGAATTCAAATTTGACTTATCATTCAGTATCCCTTTATCAACAACACCAGGAGTCTCCCTCTCCTCCCCAAATCCACTCTCCTTTTCCTTCTCTTTCAAACCTGTCTCCTGAGAATTCTGGTCTCAAAAAAAACATCCTCTCCTTTCCACCTTTGAAGTTTATAGCTTCACCCATCTCCTGCCTGGGTTTGCTATTTACTTTTCCAACCCCATTCGGTTTAAGACCACTTTTCCCAGATAAAGCCTCAACTTTGATTTCAACTTCTGGAACTATCGTGAAACTCAGTTTCCTTCCTTCCTCTGGTTGATTTACAGAGCTGTTGATGTTTTCAGGTTTTTCAACATCACTCACCTCTTTTTCTCCTTCCTCATCTTCCTTCAATTCTCTTTTAGATTAAAGGCTTCTAAAGATCTTCTGGAGCTTTACTCTACGACTTCTCTCTCTCTCTCTCGCCTTCATGTCTGTGAAGTTTCTGACCATTTAAATAACTTTTTTTCTTGTCTTCCTTGTCCCTGTAAATGAATCTTGTAATACACCAAACATGGTAGTCTTCATCTTTCTTGTACTTCAGACCTCTCTTCCCTTTTACCTAAATGATTGGGTGCTGACTAGTTCGAAGGGGTAATGATGGATGCAGTATTTAGAGACTAACTGGTGGTGAATGGTCGTGCAGCTAGAGTATTTGAGTTTATCAAAGAAAAATCAGGCGTAGTGGGTCTTTGTCAAAGAAAAAACTCAGGAGTGGGAGGTCTGGTGAGAGACTACGCAAAGAGCATCAAATTGAGTTTTTCAGGTCTGATAGGTTAAGGAACATCTCTAAGAGCAGAAACCAT